TATGATTGCGGATGTCAGTCCAACAGGCCTCTCATCACAATTCAGCTTGTGCAGCTGCCTTCTTTGTGAAATAAGTTTATTGTTTGTTTGATCATTGAACTAGAAAAGCAACTTAAATTGCGTCGTGAGTTGAGAAACGGTGAAATCTTCCTCGAAGACAATCGTGCAACCTAGTTCTGTTGCGTCCTTTCTTTAAGTTTATCTCATGAAATAAATGTTTTAGTTCATTGGTCATCCTTTGTCGTAACTCACACACAGCAGTTGTGCAGTAAAGAATAGATCGGGTTTTGTTGAACCCCATACTGACTTCTGCACAGATTTGTTTAATCAACAAAGGAAGATGTGGTCGAGTATTCAAGCAAAAACCTCTGTTGAATTACCCTCAATTACTCGTCGCCGGAAATGCCAGCCGGGTAGATTAATTGCTGGAAATTTCCGCAGCGAGTTCACCTAGTAATACCTCCAGTCACAAGTGACTTGCAAATTATTGAGTTTTGTTAACGATACACAGTAATAGAACCATCGAAGCAACAGTCAACCAACAGAAGTACTTCCTCCGGGTGCTACAATTGCAAACGATGACGAATTGTGCATAACAGCATTGCCATCGATTGCACAACAGTGGGGTATCAGTTTCGATACTTTTAATAGAGCTCGCACTGTTCAGCGGTCATAAAATGCCACATCGTGGAGTGGCTAACCAATGATTAAAAAAGTCCCGTCTACAGGACAGAGGTCTGAGCGGTTCGTTCACCGCTTGCAATTCGGACAACTGCNCAACTGCGAAACAGATAGCAATCTGTGTTGGAATTGAAGAATAGCTTTTTCAATACATGTTTTTAGACAATGACCCAAGTCCCAAGTCAAATTTTTAACCGCCCAAATTCGCATTAGCGTTGACTGTATCGGAACTCATCTCGTGTAGGATTGTATCGAAAGCAAACGGTCCACCATGTGAAATTTGATACGCAAATACTTGATCCTGACTAACGCAATGTTGTCAAATTGTTTTTAATCCGTTATGTTTTCGGTTGTCTTGAGAAAGACTTATCATAATAACCAAAATGTCAACTGGTTTTCCACTTTCCGACACTTTTGTGTTATTGAATATCAAACATGTTATATCAAATGTGTAATACCCCTCAGACATTTGTATGAATACTAAAATTTAATTCTATGAAAAGTCAAAAATATGCATTCGGAAGTATTGCAGTTATTTTGTCGACGTTGTAAACATATAATATACATATACGTGAATTCGCGTACATTTGTGCAACCGGCTGGATGAGAATTGATTCTCTGCAATGTCTAATCTCTTAAATTGAGGTAGTTGTGTAATAGCATCCCATTAGGTGTTCAGAAGAGTCCGCCTATCTATATTTGCACCACCTAGAAAACAGCCTATCAGTATCAGGCGTGGTAACTGATTTAATATACTCTGTTGTCCATCGGTCATCAATAATTCATAAAGTGATACGATCGGCGACGCCAGTAAGTACTCCGATGGCTCCATTGAAGCATGCGGCACAAATCATACTCACGTACCCATAGAATCAAAATCAGGGTTAAACCAAGCCAAATATAGTCAGCATACGACTACTAGTTGATCAGTCTAATATGATGGGAGTTCATCCAATGTAGCAAAACATTTTATGATAATCAAAAGTGTGTGTATAGTGGTATAGTCCGAGGTTCAGATGAATCGGTTGAGAACAAGTTGCGGACGCCCACTGAGAACGTTCGGAATCAATCAACCACGGTCCAACAACAAAATTTTCCCAGTCAGTCGATCGATCTGGTCATTTGGAAAATTAGAGGGAAACAAAGACGCAAGACACGAACAAAATTGAAACAAAATGCTTAGTGCTGACAAACAAGCTGGGCTGAATGTAACGTACCCGAACAGCGACCACCGGGACCCAGTCGAAAACCATCCGGGCAACGACATTCGTAACTGCCTGGTGTGTTCACACAGAGCGAGTAGGGGCACGGATTTCTCGAGTTTGGTTGATACAAGTGCGCTTGGCATTCATCAATGTCTGGCCAAGCACGAATACAAAGTTGGGTCCGCGCGGTTCGATCATGTGTGTGTGTGTGTGTGTGTGTGTGTGTGCGTGCGTGTGTGTGCGCGTGCGTTTATAGGAGATCGGGCGAGCGTGGCAGTTGAGATGGGCACACACACACACACATGTACGAACAACGGGGAGGGGGAGGGTGAAGATGATCGGCGAGAGCGAGACAGGGAGCAGAATGAGGAAAATTGGAGAATCACGATAAAGTGAAACGATGTCCCAAAGTACGAAAGACTGATTGCCTATGCAGATGAAATTCAGATCGAAAAGATGATACATGAGACACGCTAAAGCATGGGTTAAGGGGGGGGGGGGNGGGGGGGTGTTGCAGATTATGTCAGAGACTGATGACAATTCATATTTGGAATAAAAGTCACCAGTTGAAAATTGCTTTTAGCCTCAGTAGTCTCAATGAATAACAGAAAATTCACATCAAAAACATGTTCAAAGTTAACCTTAATGTGTGTGTATCTAAAATACATTAAAACAACCTCGTTAGGTTCTTGCTAAGTAATATCAACGAAACATTGGTGTTTGAAGGATTCATATCAATTGCACAGAATTGCTCAGTGGTTTCATGCACACTTATAAAAGAAATAAAAATCTGTTACTGCCCCAGTGATTGTAGAATTCCGTGGTGCATCATTTGGTACGGTCTTAAAGTTGTCTATCGAAAATTTATGAGGTCATCGTAGAACGTTGATCACACACAAACGCACTTGTCGGACGTTGGAGTTAACGCGGGTGGTCACAAGAGAGAGAGCAAAAATTTACATTTTCCGTTGCATTAAGTTGTGTCGTAAATTAATATCCCCAGTGGTGGACCTGTTTTGAGGTCATGGTCAGTCATTGATTCATAGTTTTGTGAAGAAAATCAGTATCATGATGTGTAGTTAGAATGAAGCCAGCAAACTTCATGTATCTTATGATGGAACGTCTGAAAAATATGCACAATCCCTCTTCACATTACTTTGATCGTGAATTAGGTTTCTCAGATATAAAGAACTCCATAACTCGGAAGCACTGGACAGCTGTTTCGACCTGGTTGGGTCTCATCAGCAGTGCGAATCCACCGACCCGACTGGGCATGGAACCGGGAAGCAGGTCTCATCAGCAGTGCGAATCCATCGACCCGACTGGGGATGAAACCCGGGACTTCATGAAGCAGTGCGAATCCATCGACCCGACTGGGGATCGAACCCGGGACTTCATGGGCAGAACGCTATATCGTGTAAATGGAAAATGAAAAACGGTCTGATCAGCTGCTCGGTGCGCGTGTAGCACTTGCGTTCTGCCCATGAAGTCCCGGGTTCGATCCCCAGTCGGGTCGATGGATTCGCACTACTCGTTCTGCCCATGAAGTCCCGGGTTCGATCCCCAGTCGGGTCGATGGATTCGCACTGCTGGTGAGACCCAACCAGGTCGAAACAGCTGTCCAGTGCTTCCGAGCTTTTCAGTTCACGCTTCATTTACTATATACACGACGAATTCCCATTTGAAACTCCATAACTGCCACCAAACCACTAACTATGATTGATTGTCTATAACTGCGATGTCTTACAATTTTCTTACACGAACAAATGAGTGCTTGTGGTCAAGTAGACTGCTAAGTGTTTTCCGGTTTGATTTTTATGTTTGTGAATAAGTAACTTGTTCTTGCATTGAGTAATAACTTGAAGGAATTATTTGGGTGAATTCACACACACACACACACACA